AATTAAGCGGATGAAAAACGCGTATTGTCCATCGTAACCTCTTGACAAGAATTACGTTTAGTTTTGTGGATTTGCATTAAGTTTGGGCTTTCAATTTGTAAGTACGTGGATGATAATTCCAATATTTGTCTAGTTGTACTGCTGTGAGCCATTGGAGGAGAAGAAAGAGAACTACCCCCATGCAAATTATAATGAAATATGAAAATAACCTGCTTTGATCCAAATATATCTTACGAATAGTTTTACAATTTTCCGAAAATTAATTAATTTCATGGAAAAATTCTAACTGGTCAAAAAGAGGAATAACCTAAATCCGTTCACACTATTCTCCCTTTTGCAGTTTTTTCAACCCCTCCCTCACCGAAAGAAATTTCTACAACCCCACTGCTTGGGCATATCGCGTGCCATTTCGTCGCTACGCAATTTAATTGGTCCAATGACTGCTATACTAGATTAGATCCTTGTTGCATCAGCTTTTTTTAGCGATGAATTCTCGCAATTCAAAAAAGCGAAACGCGTGATGTGTGGAGATTACCTGGATAGTTGGGTGACTTTCTGCTCTTTCGAGTACTCATTTTTTTCATTTTCCCTACATAATATTAGCAGAAATTCCTTCACTCCCTTTCTATATTAGCCTTCACATTTTTTTAAAATGTAAATATATAGCAATTCTTCTTCTCGTTGATTATGTACATATATAGCAATTCTTCTTCTCGTTGATTTTTTTTTGTTTGTGACTCATGACCAATTGTTACCCGATTCTATCAGGAAAGCGCGCTCACCTCTCATCGAGCATTTTGCACTACATACCACCAGCTTTTAGTTAACCGACACAATTTTTTTATAACAAAATTCATTGGCAACTAAGTAAAGTTTTGCAACAAAGAGTGTAAACCTTCAAGCAGTTGCATAGGAAAGCAATAATAGTGAATTCTTTGAAACTTTCTATGTAAGTTTACCTTTTACGGTTTATTAAAGCAAGAATAAAATATTAGCAAATTCTGGACAGATTTTTTGACT